ACGTCACTTCGTCCAACTTCAATCATCTGTTCTTCCCAAGATTTTATTTCATTATAATAACGAACTCTATCATCGTGGGCAAGCTGTTCATATACCTGAGAAACAGCACAATTGTTAACAGGCTTCATCTACAAAAGAGCAATTAACTTCTAGTGTGTATCCAACGTATACAAAAATCTTATTACTATTCTCCATGTGTAAAGGAAGAATACAGAAAATTTTTTGTGAGGTAAATGTTAGATGAAAAACAGGCTAAGAAAGCAAGCTTTTATAAATACTAACGCGGTTGTAATTTCAAGGTGTGGGAAGGTGGTAAATCAAGCTAGGACTGCCCCTTAATATAGTGGATACTCAAGATCATGAATTATAATTATTTTAAATATCAATGTTATTTGCAGTCAAAAACTACCAAGAAAAGCCAAATTAATTTTAATAATAGGAAAATTTAAAATACTATTAGTAATAGTAGGTTGTCTTAACATGAGTCTATTGTTGCCCTAATGTATTCTTGTATTTATTCCAAATGGACACATGAAACTGAGATCTAATACTTACTTGCTTCTGAGAACTAGACATATTTTTCCAGTTTTCATACGCAGACTTCCATTTATCCTGTAAAAACAATATATATTTAAGTAACACATATAGGGATACAAATGATCAAAGAAAAAATTCTGTATTAGTCATTCCAACAACAAAATCTCTATCATCAATGATTACAGACAAAGCTGTGAATTAACTCCTTTCCTTTCTACATAGTAACTATTAAACAGTACACTTCTTTCTTCCCCGCAATCTTAGTTCGATTCTAAAATTTATGTCCACCTCTGACAGGACTAAACAAAAAAAAGGGGATACAAAGGAAAGATCATTTTGTATTTGTATATACAAAATAGTTAGGATAGACATACAGCTTCTTTTGCTTAATTCAATGAGAAGAAAGAGGTGTACTAACAGTGTTTGGACAGGATATCCTGTCTGCTTCTTGTATGATGGATAACCACTAAGAAGATAACAATGTACAATGTATTGATTATTGAAACTGTCCTATTAATCAGCTTTGAAACTGTCTCATTCATATTTGTTTCTCAATAAAATAAAATTTTAAAAAATTAAAATTTGTGACCAACTGCTTAGGTACAGTCAAAGGAATGTAAGTCTCTAATTCTACTTAGCTGAAGTCACTGGAAGCACCAATCACTATAAATCAGAAGGGAAGACAATACTGACTGACGCACTGAACCAATGAAAGAGAGGCCTAACTTCATCTGTAACCAATTCTTGCACACTGATTCTTTTCTCAAGAGAGTAAAACAAAAAAAACAAGACAACAAAAAAAAGAGTAAAAGAGTTGCTGTGAAAATCAGGTACAGTGAGGGCAACAGTGCTGTGCAAACACAGAGACAGTTAAACATGTACAATATGGGAAGCGGGGAAAGCTAATAATATGAAGAGTAGATGACCAGACTGAGTCAGATCACAGAAAGGACAGGAAGGGAAGATAAAGACACCAGATCATATTCAAAAGGATCAACAGTTAAAATGCTTTCACGTTTCTCCAAAACAGTATGAGTTAGGAAAGGCGCAATACTTTTGAAAGATTTGAAGAAATATCATTTGCATCCTAGAATTCTGTACCATCTCTAACAAACATGTGAGGACAAAGACTTTCAGACAGGTAAAACTAAAACACTTTCACATGCACCTTAACTAGGAAAAAGGCTACCACAGAATCAGAGGAAACCAGGAACAACAACAACAGAAAAAGGACAAAGAAGGAACAGTACAAAGTCACTAAACAGACACATTCGACAGAAAAGGCAAGTTACGCTAAGGTGCTGAAAGCCGGTGAGCAGTAAAGAACTTGGGGCTGAACTACTGGTAAGTAATCAGAGGCAAAAACAAAACGAACAAACATGCCACAATCAGCTTTAGGGAGAATAAATTTTAAGTGAAAGAAAAAATGGTAGGACATGGGACAGCTCAGTTGTGAATAGTATTTATATGATCATGATATATAAACAAGCTCAATACTCCTCTAAGAACCATTATTATTATTTCTTGAACCAGGTCTTTCTGTGTAGTCCAGGCTGGCCTTGAACTTGTGGCAATCCTCCTGCCTCAGCCTCCTGAGTATGGGAGTAAGAGAGGTATACAACCATATCGAACTTAAACAAAATTATGGTAACTGTATGGTAGATAAAAAGATGGAACATGAAGAATGAAATGAGATTTAAAAATTTAATTGAAATAGTGGAGCTGATAAAATAAGACAGACAAGGCTTATAACTAAAAAAAACTCAAGAAGCAAAAACGTAAGAATGCAAGCAGATCAGGGCATGGTAGTACATGCCTATAATCCCACTACTCAGGAGGCTGAGGCAGGAGAATTGCCATATGAGGCCAGCCTGGGCTACATAAGGAGTTTAAGGTCTGAACTATATAGTGAGATCTTGTCTCAAGAAAAAGAAAAAACAGGGGCTGGGGAAATGGCTCAGTGGAATAAGCGCTTCCCTGGCAAGCACAAGGGCCTGAGTTCAATCCCTGGTTCCGCAAAAAAAAAAAAAAAAAAAGAACTAACTTGGGGCCGGGGAGATGGCTCAGTAGGATAAGCGCTTGACTGGGAAACGCAAGAATCTGAGTTCAATCCCCGGTTCCGAAAAAAAAAAAAAAAAAAAAGTAAAGGTATGGATGTAAATACCACAAAAACCACCTGAGGAAGAGAAATGTGTTTCTGGAATATAGAAATACTACTGGTCTGTGATGCTACCTTTTCATAACAAACCTGAAAAAATATTTTCATTCTTTAAATCAATTGTGAGGGTGTATAACCAAATTTCTTAATGAAAAAATAGTCAGGTTGCATTTCCATCTCTAGGACAGAACCCACACACTAAGCTTCCTAAGTGACTCCAGAGTATTGTCAAAGTGGAGAAGCACTGATTTACAAGAATTCTCTAGCATATAACCTTTCTATAGTGATAGAAAACTAATTTCAAGGTAAGTGACTGAACTGAATTCCAATGGAAGAAAAAAAGAACTATTTCAGTAATATAGAATTATAGAAATTAAATTCAAAATCCTGAGGCTAGTAATTAAGTTAGAGTATGTAGCCAAGGAAGACAATGTGCTACACACACATTATTTAAGCACACAATAAATAGGACCTCTGCACTTACAGATCCAAATAACCTCACAAAGGCAGACTACCAAAAATATTGACAAGAACCAGAAACGTGAACACTTCTTTTACCTTGTCATATTATACACAGAAAAACAAAAGTGCCAGTGTGGGCCCCTATGAAAGAAAAAACGGAAAGGCAGCCCCAGTAGTGACCAATAAGGCTTTTTCTCTGACACACTCGCATTTAGAACACATTCCTATGTGCATCACTAAAATTTAATTAAAGCATATACAAATAGAAACAATAGGTTATACTCAATACAATGGTTCACATATACAATACACCAAGGTTCACAACTTAATTCTTTTCACAATTCTGGTACTGAACCAAATCAAATTCAATGGTTAGGTTCAATGTTGACCTTATACAGAAATCTGATTCAGTTCTCACCCAATTTGGTTTGCAACCAGGATTGTGGAAAGAAGTTTGTGAACTAAGGTTCTACTATATTATTGCTCTATTCACATTCTTTCCTGTGACAATAAAATTGTAAAGAGCTGCTTGAGTAGAAGAGTCTCCAGAAAAATTTGTTTCTCTCAATGTGAAAATTTTGGTTTTTATTTTTTTGTGATACCGGGGATTGAACTCAGAACCTTGCGAGAATTTTGTTTCTTAAATTTAAAAAGTTGGCAACGTCTTAGCAATGATAGACTTGCATGAACTGCTAATGGTAAGGAAAAGGGTTTCTTGTGTATGTGTGTGTGCACTGCTAGGGCTCAATCCCAGTGATTTACACATGCTAGGCAGGTGTTTTCCCACTGGGCCACCCCAGGCATGGACCACCATGCCCAGTTTCAGGGCCAGCAAGGCATGCGATACCTGGGATCAAACTAAGGTCCTTGCACCTGCCAGGCAGGCACTTAGACTGCTGAGCTATCTTCCCAGCCCCCCCACCAAAGTTTCTATGTATTAAATATGAAATTGAATATTACTTTAATGTAGAAAATTTGGAACGAAGGCCAGAGAGATAGCTTGGCAGCATAAGTGCCTGGCTGGCAAGCGCAAGGTCTTGAGTTTGATCCCTGATACCACAAAAAAAAAAAAAGAATGAGACTTCTTTCTTCAGAGAAAGGTGGACGAACAAGGTCTCCTGCCTATTTTCCTGACTGCTGGTTTTCACTTTATTCAGGCTCTTACCATAAACCTTAATTTCAACTTAGAGGCCCTGAAGGACAGCACAGAAGTTGAAATTGTAGATGAGAAAAAGGGCAAAATCAGAAAAACAGCCAATCCTAGACAGTCCTCCATGAATTGTGCTGCAAACAGATTTATCCCAACTAACTATCTATCCAGAGTTTGGACCAGGGCAGGCCTTTTGCTCACACATAAGGTGAGGAGCACCGAGGCTCTTGGATGTCACTGGATTGGACTATGCAGAGGGACAGGCGACTCCCTGAAATGCCAGTGTAAATACCGGAACAAATCATGCTATGTAAATGAAAGCGACCAGCCCGTCTCCTATGCAACAGTGTCTATGCCCAACTGTCTGCAGAGGAGCCTGGGCCAGGGCTACAGGGAGATAGCCGGCCTGCCACAGTGCTGAGACAGGCCCACCGAGGGCTGCCGCCGCCGCCACAGGAGCTGCCCACTTCTACTGGCCTGGGCTGCGTGGCTACTTTTCTTCATGGTAGGAAAGTTAATAATCATCATGGTGAACATACTGCAAGTCTTTTGATTACAGGCATGTGTTCTTTTGTCCAGAGCAATAAAGCAGGAATTCAGGGTAGAGTATGATACATAACATTGTTCCAAATAGACTATTAAGATTCATTAATGTGGACAATGAAGGACAAAGAAATTTAAGAAATCAACAAGGACATTTTTTTAACTGTTGGAAATTATTTCTGATCTGTCAATGAGAGACCAGCCCATCAATAAAACATTAATGGATGGGCTCACAAATATTTTTATCTCATATTGCCATCTCATATTTTTTGCTTGCTCTCTGCTTCTAATCCTAACTTGAACAGGTGTTTTAAAAGTTGAAGCAAAGTGACAGTTTCATTTTAGTTTTTTTTTTTTTCAAAGACATACAATGACTTTGTATGTCTCTGAAATAATTCTAATACAATATATATATTACAATTATTTATCATATAAAAGTGGGGTCCAAGATGACCTTTTTTTGGCGGAACCGGGGATTGAACTCAGGCCCTTGCACTTGCCAGGCAAGTGCTTATTCCACTGAGCTATCTCCCTGGCTCCCCAAGATGACATTTTTAATCAGCATTTGAGCACTAGAACATTGGATATAAGTATTTTTTCCACAGTACAGTTGTTTAGTTGTTGATGCTCGTCCATTACTTGTTTACATATTAATAAAATTTTAAAAGCTTAATTTCTACAAATCTACAACTTTCTGTGACCACCTAACAAATGAAAATCCTAGAATTCCCAAGGAATCTTTATTTTTTTTAAAATGAAAATTAAACAAACAAAAAAATCAGAAACAAATGAGCTGTTTACCTGTATCGTAGCACCTTCAGAGGACTGAATATATTCAGACAGAAAAATGTTATAAGCTGTGCGAGCTTTTTTTGGTTTTCCAAGCATTGATAACTCCTGAATAACAAAAGTAATAGAATTAGGTAGAGTTTTAACTTCACCAAGACTTAATTTTATCTATAGAAACTATTCACTACTATTCATTACAGAACTAAAATGAATGCTGTTATTTTTATACAAAGTATGGCATTCTTATATCCTGGAGTAAGAATATTTTGAAAGCACTAAATCTTAAAAATTATAGATTCCCTGTTATTTTTTTTTAATGTTCTTTGTATGTTATTTTTATGGTGTCCATGATAAAACAATCCTGGTTTCATCCTTAAGGGATACCACCACGCCCTAGCCCTAGCTAGTGGTGGGAACCTACTGCACACATACTATGTTCTTCTAAGATAAAAGATGTTAATATATCAATTGTTTTTTCCTAAACTAAAGCCTTAGTATTCAGGTTTAACTGCAGAATCTGTGATAAGTAACTGGGTTTTGGGTTGCAGCTTAGGCACCTGTTTCCAAAAGGCTGGTCATCTCTGCTTTAGGCCTAATCACCATGTCAACCTTCCAACTCACAAAGACAGGGCTATCACTAATAATCTCTCCCCATTTATTTCCTCCTTTCATGGTCCCATTACAGTGCAACAAATGTGCTAAATCCAATTCTTTTACTAGGTACTGAGGGCCTAAGGAAAACATGGAAAAGAACCCAACCATCTCTTGCTTTTTAACCTGGTTTAGTTCCCCAACTCAGAGAATGAAGGCTACTGTGTTATTTTATTTGGTTTCTGAATCTGGATAGTAAGTAACATATGAATCTTTATTTGATTAGTTTTGGTTTAAAACATGGTCTTTTTATGTAGCTCAAGAAGGGCTTGAACTTATGGCAATCCTCCTGCCTCAGTCTACTAAGTGCTGGGAGTGAGTGACCATGCCTGGCTAAGAATTTATAAAATTCTGTGGTTCGGAGATGACCGGGCTGGCGGGATCCTGAACTGAACAGACCCAGAGCGCAGGCCCGGAGAGTGAGTGAGCCGACCTGGGGTCCTCCGCATCCTGAATAGACCCAGAGCGCAGGCCCAGCAGGGAACCCTTCAGCAGAACTCCCTGCAAAGAGGCTAGAGGCAAGACCCACCCAGCTGATTCAGGAGCAGAAC